ACGGGGCTCCCTGCTCCACGGGAAGCCTGCTTCTCCCTCTCCCACTCCCCCTGCTTGTGTTCCTTCTCTCACTGTGTCTCTCTCTGTCAAATAAATAAAATCTTAAAAAAAAAAAAAATACTCTCAGCTACATAGGAGATTTTCTTTTAGTATTTTAGAATGGGAAAATTTTCATAGAAGGTTAAAAAAGGAATTGATCATTGTATGGTTATTTCCTATTAGATTTCTGCACAACACAGGAATAACTCATTTCATTTACTTGACACACTTGATTTCATTCTATGTAATTCTGCATAGAACCATCACCAACATTCCTTTGCTTCCCTATGTAGCAAAACTCCTTGGGTTGTCTATACTGGATACTGTTGCCTAACATTTCTCTTCTCGTTCTCTCTCTTCTTAAACTCTTTACTATAAAATACATTCAAATTTACAGAAAATTTTCAAGGATAGAACATTCACATACCCTTTACCTGGAGGAACCAATTATTATTTTGCCCTGTTTGTCTTTGCTATTATTTTTTTCGTAACCACTTGAGGATTTGTTGTACACATCATGCCCCTTTATCCCTAAATATCTCAGCATGTATTTTCCTTATTTTTAATTTATTTTTTAATTATTTATTTATTTACTTATTTTTTAGAGAGAGAGAGAAAGGGGTGGGAAGGGGCAGAGGGAGAGGGAGAGAGAGAATCCCAAGCAGGCTCCATGCCCAGCCCAGAGCCCAACTCGGGGCTCGATCTCAGGACCCTGAGATCCTGACCTGAGCTGAAACCAAGAGGCCGATGCTTAACTGACTGAGCTACCCAGGCACCCCCCAGCATGTATTTTCTAAGAACAGGAGCCTTCTTTTGCAGACCACAGTTCAGTTATCAAATTTCTCATATATATGTCCATATCCAAATTTCACAAATTACCCTAATAAAGCCATTTTTGGAAATTATCTCCTGATCCAGGATCTCATTCAGAGTCATATGAATGCATTTAGAGCACTCTATTTGGCATCCGTTATCCTGAAACAATACCAGAGGCTATCTTTGTCTTTCACGACACTGACATTTTTTAAAGAATGCAGGTTGATTATTTTGTAAAGTATCTTTCAGCTTGGGTTCTTATGATGTTTCCTCTTTCTGGGAGTTGGAGCAAGAATACAACATAGGCGATGTCGTGTCCTCAGTGTATTACATCAGAAGTGTGTAATGTCAGCTTCTCCCATTATTGGGGATGTAAACTTTGATTACTTAGTGAAGATGGTGCCGCCTCTACAGTTGTCCACTAAAAAGCTACACAACTTTTCTTTTCCAATTAATAAATCAGTGGGGAGATACTTTGATACCATAAATTATACTGTTGCTTTTTAAACTTCCACTGAATAGTTTTAGTGTCCATTGATGATTTGGGCCTGAAGCAGTTATCACCATAAAAGTTGCAAAATGGTGGGGCACCTGGGTGTCTCAGTTGGTTAAGTGTCCGACTCTTGATTTCGGCTCAGGTCATGATCTCAGGGTCGTGAGATTGAGCCCCTTGTCAGGCTCCATGCTGGGTGTGGAGCCTGCTTAAGATTCTCTCTCTCCCTCTCCCTCTCCCTCTGCCCCTCCCCCCACCTCTCTCTCTCTCTCTCTCTAAAAAAAAAAAAAAGTTGCAAAATGGTAATTTTCTAACTCTATTAGTTCCTCTGCATTATGGGTTGACACTCTGCAAGGAAGAGATTTCCCTTCTCATTTATTTACTTACTTGTTTACTTACCATCAGTATGGATTCATGGATTCTTCTCTCAGTCAGTGGTTTATAATCAGCTCTTCCATTATTCATGTTGATGCTCAAAGTTTCCCATATTTGCTCAGAGGAACCCCCTGCAAGTCATCTCCTCTGTCATTTTTGTAATGGTCCCATCATTTCTCGAGCTCTCCCTTACCTTCCAGAATGACAAGAAGTTGCAGTTCTTGTATTTTGCCTGCCCCGGTCCTAGACTTGGCCATTTCACAGAGGAGGTCTGGTTTCTTTTAGTGAGAAATTGTGTTTTAAAAACAAAATCTGGGTTATAGATGTGTGACTAGGATGTTGTTGCTTCTAGCATAGAATAAAATGTGCTCTATTAAGTGCATAGTTCAGTGAATTTTGACAAATGTATATACCCGTGGTCAATTTTCAGTCTTTGTTGAACTTGATCTGTCATTAACAGCATTCGATACTGAGGATCTCACCTTCCTCCTTGCAGTATTGTCTTCACTACGCTTCTGGGAAATGATGGTTTTTCCCTATCCCCACTGTATACTCCTCAGTCTCCTTTGATTGTCTCTGCTCTTCTCTATACTCTTTCAAAGTTGAAACACTGCAGAACTCAGACTCTGATGCTTTTCTCGTCTGTATATATGCCTACTCCCTAGGTAATCTCATCTGACAACTCCCGGATTTGTATCTCTAACCCAGTCTTCTCCCCCAAGCGCTGGGTTTTATATCCACTTATTTCCATCTGACATCTGTGCCTGAATTTCCAATAGACATCCAAATTCAACATGTGCAAAGCTGAAATCCACCCCACATCCAGCCCACCTGTGGCTTTCCCATCTCAGGTGATGGCAGCTCCATTCTCCTAGTTATTTAGAGCAAAACCTTGGAGGTACCCAAAATATACACCAGATCCCTCCCTCCACTTCTTGTCCCTCCACTGGTCCTCCCATGATCTGAGCAGCCATCATCTCTTGCCTGGGTTATTTCAAGGGCCTCATAGCTGGTCTCACCACATCAAAGCTTTCTCTTACAACTGCTTGCCACATAGAATGACCCTTTTTAACTATATAGTGTGATCATATCACTCTTCTCTCAAAACTTTGCAGTGGCGGGCTGCCTGGGTGGCTCACTCAGCCAGTTAAGCATCTGACTTGGACTCAGGTCATGATCTCAGAGTCCTGGGATCGAGCCCCACATTGGGATTCCCACTCAGGGGAGTCTGCTTTTCCCTCTCCCTCTGCCCCTCCCCCTTAACCCCCGCTCATGCTCTCTCTGTCTCTCTGTCCTTCTCTCAGATAAATAAATAAAATCTTAAACAAACAAACAAACAAACCTTTGCAGTGGCTCCTTATTTCATTCAGAGTACAGCCCAAGCTGTTACAATGGCCTACAGGACTCTGTATAATTCTCATGCCCTCCTCTGCTCTGAGATCTCATTTCTTACTCCTCCCTCTTCCTCTCCTTTCCATCCACATGGAATTCCTGTGGCTCCTCCCACATGCCAGCATGCCAGGCAGGCTCCCACTTCTAGGGGCATTCAAGCTGGTACCTCTGTAAGGAAGGTATTTCCCAGATATCTGCTTGGCCAGCTTCCTCATCTCCTTCACTTGACCAAACTATACCCTCTAATGAGGCCCACCCTGACTATCCAAACACAGAATGCCTGTTCCCTCACTTTCAGCTTTTCTGGCTTTTTCCCATTGTACTTACCACCACCTAACACATTTTTATAAATTACTTATTTTTTGTTTATTGGTTATCGCATGTCCCTTTGTGCTGGAACGTAAACTTCATGAGTACAGGGATCTTTGTTCTGCTCACTGGAGGACGTAGAACCAAAGGATCTCACTGAACATCTGTGTTTTAAATAAATGAATGAACCACTTTGTCCTGTACTTTGACTTGATAAATTGATAGAAATGAGTAAGAACCCACTAGTAGAACTGAGTCCACGTATACCATTTTTAATTTGGCTGTGTGCCTAACACCCAACTTCAGTTACACTCCTCTCTCTGGGTGTATGTTTGCCTCTTTCCACACATGAAATGTAGACACTTTAAAAACAGAAAGCATTTCGGTCAGGTGGGATTTCCAGAGAGCAGTGGGTTTTGCCTGCCCTGAATTAAGCCTTTGCATGCATAACACAGCCTACGTAACAACCTGATTTTTGTCAGTCACTGCCATCAGGGAGGGCCACGTTGCCCACTGTTTCCTCTACTTCTCTATCCACTGTGATTCTGAGTTCCCTAGAGAAGAAGGGGAGATGGGAGGAAGGGTGAAAGAATCCAAAATTTCTTTAGCTATGGACTATACGTTTTCCTAGTAGACTGTTCAGTTGACTCCAGATTCAAAATGGGTAGCAGATGTCACTTAGGTGGACCTGGAGTGATTCATAGAATTTCAGCTGAGATAAGACATACCTTGACAGGCATTCAACTAATGTGCCTGGGGTACTTCTGGACAATCATTGTGATGTCAACAGTCAAGTTTTGAAAGGCGCATGTGACATGAGTATTAAAATATCTCTACTGACAGGAACAGACTTGCCTGGCCACTAGTAAAAAAGAATATACTCCATTAGAAAGTAGACACCCTCTCTGCCTCTTGTCCGGAAAATCTAGGTCACCTTTGTACTGAGATTCTTGATTCCTTTGCCCCTGGTGTTCCTGGGACATTAGGAAATATTTTCCTCATGTCTAAGCTAGTGTATTCTCAGCCCTTTTAATTCAGAGAGTGTAGGATGCGAACCTGGTTTAAATGCTGGAGGTTTGGTTTTAATATCATAGAAAAAAGCATAACTGTTCCTTTCAAATGCATGCAGAAGTATGCGGATTTCACATACTAAGCATACCAGCGCCATTAATAAGAAAATGAAGATTTTAATTTATATATTTCATGTCTTCTAAAATTACATTCAGAAATATCTTGACATTTTAATGAATGTAATATATAAGAAAGGTCATTTTTGTTCTAAGACAACTTCAAATGTAGAGTTAAATAGGCTGTATTTAAGAAAGCACTGAGAGCATATTTTAAGTTTATCTCCTTTATAATACATTGTGTTTTTTACATCAGGCTCCCTGCTCGTGGGGGAGCCTGCTTCTCCCTCTCCCTCTGTCTGCTGCTCCCCCGGCTTGTGCTCTCTCTCTCTCTCTTCCCCTGTCAAATAAATAAATAAAATCTTAAATATAATACGTTGTATTTTTACATAGTGGAGAAAATAGGGCTTTTTAAATATATAACGTCTGTATTTGATTACTTTCCACAGATACAACACACTCAGGGGAAATTGGCACTAAAAAAAAGGTGAAAAGACTGTTAAGCTTTCAAAGATACTTCCATGCATCGAGGCTGCTTCGTGGAATTATACCACAAGCCCCTCTCCACCTGCTGGATGAAGACTACCTTGGACAAGCAAGGGTGAGTTAGTCTCCTCTGTCACCTCCCAGGAGGTCAGTGGCCAAGAGCATGTACCTCAGCTGACAGTACCTGGGTTGGAGTCCAACTTCTGCCACTGAGACCCTCTGTGACTCTGGCTAGTTAGTCAACACATCTGGACTTTTCCCTCAAATATGAAATGAGGTTAATAGAAACACCCAGCTCAGAGGGGTGATGCAGAGATTACATGAGGTAAAGCATGCTTACATGTTTTATGTATTCATGCCTAGCACATGCTAGCTATTTTCATTTTTACAAATGGACAAAACATATTTGCACAACACTATTTACTAAAGTGAAATTCTGGACTGATTGATTACCGATGAGAGAATAGCTAAAACTTTAAACCCATTGAATTGTCTCATTATAATAGCTATGCTGAAAGTAACCCAATAATTACCAACTCTTAATTCCACTTCTGTCTACCAATATGGTATGTAGTCCTTTTTATAATCTTATTTTATTTAAATAATTTTCACAAATTTTACAATCCTTTTTGCAATTCATTGATCAAAGGTTGAAGTGAACATGTGACAATCTAAAAAAAAAAAAAGTTCACAAGTTATCTCTAGCCCAAACTGTCAAAAGAGTTTAAATTTCAGGATAAACTGCCACCATTTACCCCCATCACTTTATTTTTATTAAACTGCCACCATTTAAACAGAAATCAGAAGTAGAGTCTTAGAGTTTACATGCTAAGTAATATTATGCTATCTATGTACTATTAAGAAATTTATACTATTACTGTATAGTATTAGTAACTAAGCAACAAGTAATATCAGAAGAACTAATTCCCAACTTTAGGTTTAAAAAAGGAAAAAAAAAAAAAAATCACTCCTAACAACCCAAGGCCTGAGATTGAGTGAATATTTGTTTGTTTGTTTATTCATCTGGATGGTTGGTTGGTTGGGTGGTTGGTTGGGTTGTTGGTTGGTTGGGTGGTTGGGTGGTTGGTTGGAGAAAAAAGAGCAAGACTAAGCTCCCAGCCCTGGGGCATCAGTGACAGAGCATTCCTGTGGGGCCCTCCTCCAAGCATTCACCCCTCAAGAGAGATGACATTGAGATGTAGAAAGAACTGTGGGTCACAAGTTAGGATACCAGGGATCAAGTCCTGATTCTACTTTAGTATTTGACTTGGATAAAATGTTCACACACACCAGATCTCACAGGTAACCTATTATTCCTTCATTTTTCTGATAATGCTGGAAGGTCTTTGTGTGCTGTGACAAGGCCCTTAGACTTTATTGGAAGATGCAGGGAAGACATTTAGGGGCAGGAAGAGGAGAGTGAGCTGGTCCTTACAGGAAGCAGTGACTTTGAGAAGAGAGGAAGGCCAGGCAAAGAAGCCACAGTGAGGATAGAATCCGTAACCACAGCTTTGCATCTGAGAGTTAAAGACCATTTAATTCTAAGCATGGGGGATTTAAAAAAAACAAAACAAAAACAGGATAATAAGCCTACACTGGACAGTAGGTCTTTAAATTACCCAACATTTTCAATTGCCAACTCCAGTTTCCTATCTGTTAGAGTGGTTCATTTCACATTTAGTCCACGTTGAGCTGAGTAATGTGCTCAGCAATGATTTTGACTTCATTTTTTAAAAATTTGCCGTAAACATCCTCCTCCTTACGTATATAGTCATTTGCAATGTACAGACTTTACTGGACTATAGTTTTAACAGATATCGAATTTTATGTGTGCTTATTATATACAAACACCATTCTAAGCACTCCACATATATTATCTTCTTTAATCCTCACAAAAATGCTATTTTTCAAATAGGAAACTGAGGTACAGAGAGGTTAAGGAACTTGCCCAAACTCCCACAGCCAGTGAGAGATGTGGCTGGTACTGAACCAGATAGTCTGATTCCTTTCACGCTCTTGTTAGTAGCACGTAGAGCAAGATTTGTTTTACCACAAACCAGATAGCAATGTGCTACTATTTCCAACTTTTTAATTGTTTAATTCACTGTCTCAAAGTAAATGTTTGAGTCTCCGGTATGATTCATTTGAGTGCTGTTTTTCGTTTGCCTTTTCAGCATATGCTTTCCAAAGTGGGAATGTGGGATTTTGACATTTTCTTATTTGATCGCTTGACAAATGGTAAGTCACCCAAAAGAATCTTATTTCCAAACACTGTTATTCTTTTTCCCTTCCTTTTCGACTTTCCTAAGTCTATAGCCACTCAAGAAGGGCCAGGGCAGGGGAAAATTAATTCAGATGAAAAGTAAGGACTGAATTTGGCCTTAGAATCTTAAGACCGTTTTCCTTCTGGCCTTGATGATCCCAAAGGAATTTGGAAACCACAGATTAGATTCTTCCCTGGCAGAATACTTTGGCCACATCCAAATGGAGGAGGTTCATTGTTAGTCAGTGAAAACTAGAAACACTAAAGCTCGTCTGATCAGTCCCGAGCCCTATAGGGCAGGTGTCTTTACATTTTCACTGAGTGAGCTGAGGCTGGTCCAGTGCAGGTCTTGTTCAGATATGCTCGGCATCACTGGAGGAAAACATTGGCTGATGATGGGGTGTAAAACGTTAGGCTGCAGCTGAAGGGGAAAGTAGACATTCCCACTGGCTTCACTTTTAAAATCTTGGTGCCTATAAAGACTTTCCTAAAGAAAATAATAAAATTTGGTTATATATTCGTCTGCCCATTAAACAAATGCCAACAGGCTTAGGGAGCCAATGAAAGACATCGTACCTGATGGTGACCTTCACATGTCCCACCATATACCAGGCTTATACTTTAAGTCATTACGGATGGTTTTCTCACCATTCTGTTACTTGACAAATAACATACAGTTGAGATATACAGCCTAAGACCGTGAAGCCGACCGAGCTTTACACTGTGGAAAGCTAACTGTACCATGTAGGGATGGAGCTCACAATCTTGTATTTCACTTTGCTCAAATCAACTGAGAAATGGGTACCAGTAGATGAAAGTAACTGTGAATAAAAGGATTTGCTCAAAAGAGAGTATAATCATGACTCTCATGGAAGATGAAATGAGCACATGTCAAAAATTTAACTCAATTAATTAGAGATCCATTAAGATGCTACAACTAGTTCAAGGGAAAATTCAAAGAACAACACATATGTAAACAGTAAGAAATGCTTAAATGGATTTATTAATAGCTGTAAAGCTGGGAAGAGGAAGTCAACTGTATTTTCACCTGAAAGATTTTTGTTTGCATGTTATGGACAAGAATCATTTGCAATGCTCTCAGTTATCTACAACTTTGAGAGCTGTAAAAAAGCTCAAAGACAATGGAATCTGCAGAAATGCAGAATCAGGTGGCCCGGAAGAGTGTGCTTAGGCAATACTTTGTTTTCCACTTAAGACATCCAGTCATCATCTTGGTCCATTTCAAAGTCTTTCATAAATTCTCTAATGCTTTTCAAATTCAAAATCATTACTCTTTAGTCAATAATATTTCCTAAATGCTTACTAGTCATTATTGCTTCGATTTTGCATCTCTGCTGGCTTAAGTTCTAAACTATCTCATGGTCACATCTCACCTTGGGTGATTTCTCTTAAGGAACGTGGTGACTTAGATGTCCCTGTAAACCTAAGAATCAGTTGGGAGCAACTTAAGGCACATTGTAAGTGACCACTAAACTGTGTCTTTAAAAACTACACACAAACACAAACACACACACACGTGTGTGTGTTTGTGTGTGTCCCCACGATAAGCAGACTCTTAATGCTTTCATTGCCTTTGGTATAGAGAAATGTCTGACCTAGTTTGTTTCACTTGTACAATATGAGAAAACCTAGGACCAAACCATAGGAATAAGATCCTTCATACTTGGAAACATTCAGATTTAACAGGGAAAAGGAGACCTTTCATTACAGAAACTTTGGATCCTTTTGTCAATCTCGATATTTTAGTGGTGATAAAAATTAGTTAAAGCGGGGCGCCTGGGTGGCTCAGTCGGTTGGGCGACTGCCTTCGGCTCAGGTCATGATCCTGGAGTCCCAGGATCAAGTCCCGCATCGGGCTCCCTGCTCGGCGGGGACTCTGCTTCTCCCTCTGACCCTCCTCCCTCTCATGAGCTCTCTCTCTTTCAAATAAATAAATAAAATCTTTAAAAAAAAAAAAAAAAAAGACCTTTCCTGTCAGGGCACCTGGGTGGCTCAGTCGGTTGGGCGACTGCCTTTGGCTCCGGTCATGATCCTGGAGTCCCGGGATCGAGTCCCACATCAGGCTCCCTGCTCAGCGGGGAGCCTGCTTCTCCCTCTGACCCTCCTCCCTCTCCTGCTCTCTCTCTCATTCTCTCTCTCTCAAATAAATAAATAAAATCTTTAAAAAAAAAAAATGAGTTAAAGCAGGTGACTGTTTTCCTACAGGAAACAGCTTGGTAACACTGCTGTGCCACCTCTTCAACACCCATGGACTCATTCACCATTTCAAGTTAGACATGGTGACCTTGCACAGGTTTTTAGGTAAGTCTTCATTTCCATATTCTTACCTCCGTTCCCCTGAATAGTGACAGCCCATAATATTCTTTTTTTTTTTTTTTTTTTTTCTTTCAGCCCATAATATTCTTTAACGTAAAGCGGCAAGAATGATAGCATGGAAGGTGAAGACCTCAAGTTAATCTGAAATTATCTCACCTTAATTTTTATATATGGTTCACCCATTTTAATCAGTAGAAAAAGATTATTTACTTGATTAGCTATGTTTACAATAGATCAAAACAATATAAAGAAAACCATCAAGAGCACATAACTGTTACAGAAATTACTGATCTGCTTACATATCAGCAAAACCCCAGTAATGTATGCCTCAAATAATTCCGATCTGGACATGAGTTGTTAAAAATCTTCAATAGACTTTTTTTTTTTTTAATATAAGAAGAACTACCATTTACATAGCGCCCACTATATGCAAGATGCTCTCAGTATGTTATTTCTAACCATTTCAACAACTCTGCAAGTTGGGTGTTGTCACCACCATTTGGCGCATAGTTAAGGAAAAGTAGAAAGAGGTTTCATAACTTGCTCAAGGTCAACAACTTGTAATTGGCAGAACCTCAGGCCAAGCCCAGGTCTGTCTGACTTGAAAGTCCGCCATGTTTCCACTCAACTCCACCCCGTCACTCTCTATCAAAAACAGCCCCAGTTCTTACCGGACTTAATGCACACACTTATTTATCTGCCAAATTATCCAGGGCACATTTTTAATCACCATATAACTTCCTGCTGCCACTTGGCATGTTTCTGGCTTCTTTGATGTGTCCTGTGGCTGTGCTTTGAATTTCAAAGCTGACTTGATGCCTTGAGAGATGCCTCCAGAGTAAAGTAACAGAGACATGATAGCAACAGAAGGAATGACAACCAGACCTATACGGTGCTGACATATGCCGGGACTAAGGACTTGCATGTATTAACACATTTCATTCGTAGAGCAGCCCTTTGAAATTGGAGCTATTGTTATTCCCATTTTATAGAGAAAAAAGACTGAGGAAACTTATGGTTAAGTAATTTTCCCAACACATATAATAAGGGAAAGAGCCAGAGTTTAAATATAATTGTTTTTAGAAACACGTAAAATAAATAATAATTGGCAAAAGAAATTTTTGAAACCAGCTACAACATGGCTCGGTTCCAGAAACACAAATAACTTCAGGCTAACTGAATGATTTCTTGAGCAAAGTAATGGCCACAAATGGGCCAAATAATTTTTATTTGTCTAAAGAAAGAGAACACAGATCCTTTGGACATGTGTATGCCCGCAGAGTAATGTAAAGAACGAAAAGATTTGATGACAGAAATAACACCCGAATTCAGGGCTGGACTCGTAAAACGGACTGAGAAAGTATGGCCACACTTGCAAATCTGGACATTCTATACACACTGAATGTATTGCATCCTAAGCATCTTAAGCTAAAGCAGGCTAATGGCTTCTGTAATTAGCAAAACCAACTCACCCTGCTTATGTCTCTACTTGGTTCCAAGAGCACTCTGGTCCTTAAATTGGAAGGGCATGAGAGATGCTAACTTAGTCTGAATGAGATAGAGATAAAACCAAGGAGTTTGCCATTGGATCAACACAGTACTTTGAACTTCTGCCTGAAGAAGCGTCAGATTTGCTTTGGTCAGTCTTTGCTATTCAAGTGCTAAACCAATCTTTGGATATCAGGGCTCTTTAAAAGGAAAACTCTGTAATGGAATATTATTCATAAATGGCAGCAAACTTAAATAATTAAACTATAGTGTGAAATAAAGTTGTCCTCTTCCTACATATTTATTTTTCCCATGAATGAAAGCCTTGATGAACGCCAGAAAGGAGTGATTTATGAAGGTGGTGAGGAATCCCAAGGGCCTCACAAATCCTTTTAGCCTTTCTCCCATCTGCCCTCCCCCTCCTCTTCACTAAAAGCAGCCCAGTAGAACTGCCAAGCTTGCAAACCACGTTTATTTTTAAAGGATCCCCAGGCTGCACATTTTGGAGACACTGATATTTTTAAGCAAAAGGGATCCTCAATAGGTCTGAGCTTAGTCTGCCCTTCCTGTTTTGGTTTTAGCTGATGAGTTATCTGTTTGCCTCCTAGTCATGGTTCAAGAAGATTACCACAGCCAAAACCCATATCACAATGCTGTTCATGCAGCCGATGTCACCCAGGCCATGCACTGCTACCTGAAGGAGCCAAAGGTAAAGCAAGACCCGGCTGCCTCCTCAGCCCTCCGGAGGTGTCAAATAAACTGCCTGCTAAGTCCCAAATCACCCAACACAGCAGAATAACTGTGTATGGGTCATTCACACTAGGAATATAAATTATTTCTATGAAAGTTCCGGGATCAGCTTTGTAAGTTATATAATACACATGAAAGAGGGTGTAAATTTCCTGAGGGCTTTTTTTCCCATAATTTCTGTACTTGTCAAGACCGCATTAGGACAAAAACAACCCTTTCTGTGACAATCTACATCTTAGATATATTCAAAAGCCTCAAGAAATTAATTGTTTTGCCTTGGACCTCTGCCACAAATGGTACCAGCAGTGAAATGCTCTGGAAAAAGTCTCTCGCCTCATGGGTTTTGATTGACAAGTAGAATCAAAACTCCTCAAGACGGAAGCTCCATTTCCTACTAAGCCAACAGGGCATCCTGATTCAGGCCCAAGAGAACTTGTCAACTCCAAAGATCCCAGAGCAAGTGTGTTCTGATGCAATAAAGCAATCCAAAACTAAAAACATGGCAATGATAATACGCACTACTTGAAATCTAAGCATTTCTTAACCATATATAACTGAATTGGCTTAACATACATGATGAATTTTCTTAAGGTTTTTCTAAAATGATATCCTCGTCCAAGTCTCTGTTTAGTTTGATCAGTTTTAATATCAGTCACTAAACACACAGGTGCCAGACAGGCATTCTCAGGAGAAAACTGGGTAGATAGATGCCCAACCTTGTACAATATCCCATTAAACGTTGCGTTTTTTAATCTGTAAGTTGTCTGAAAGTTCTAATATATCATACAGTAGTATATTTAAATTTAGTACTGGATTCCCATTCTCCTGCTTGTTTTCATAGCTACCAAAAAAAATGACAGATTCTTACACATTCCCCCACTATTTATTACACATTGAAGAAATATGCAAATTTTGTAATTCAGCCCACTCTTGATTCCGTGTTCCCAGTGGCAATGACAGAGTGGATGATTGAAATACACAAATGATTTTTTTTTAAATGTGTCCATTACTTTGGCTTTAAAATTTTCCTTCATTCACTGCTTTCTCTCGGAGCAAGGCTGACTTCAGGCTCTGCCTTGTCCCTGCTCACCAGAGAGCAGTCTTGCCAATAGGCAGCACCACTCCCTGCACCAATAAAAAGAAACAAGAGTAGCAGTAGGAAGAGGAGGGTAGTTGGATGAATGATCCAGAACAATTTGACTTGCTTAATTACTTTCCACACTGTCCTTTTTTCCCCCTGCAATTCTATGGGGCTGCCACCTCACTGACCACTGCCTCAAGAGGGTAAAGGTCGGGATGGAAAGCCTGAAAAATACTGTCATAATTCATACAGTTTGATTTAGCCAAAACGAGCCCTCACCTATGTGGGTAAACACCAATCGATCTCCCACTGTGACTTTTTTAACAGCTCGCCAGCTTCCTCACGCCTCTGGACATCATGCTTGGCCTGCTGGCTGCAGCAGCACATGATGTTGACCATCCAGGAGTGAACCAGCCATTTTTGATCAAAACTAACCACCATCTCGCCAACCTATACCAGGTAAGGGGGCCCAGCGTTGAGTCACAGTTCAGCCAACAGTCTTCAGCCCAGCGTTGGAGCCCGCGTCTCACCTTTGGAGATAGCCTTCCTTCAGGGTCAGCCTCAATGACAACCACAGCCAAAGAGCATGGATTTGAAATAGGTCCAGGATATTCCCCAAGGAAGATTAAATTTCTTTACAAAGGTATCCAAGGAATTCCTTTCTATCCAAAGCAGATTTGAAATTGTGCAGAGTAGAACAGGATCTCTGAGCCTACCCTCTCAGGACCTGAGAATATCTGTCTCCCTGGACACCGTCTCATATATAATGGCCAGTTGAAGCCAGTCTTTGTAGGACTTCTATAAATGATAATTCCCAGGTGCAATCCTAATTCAAACTTAGGTTTCTAAGACTATTTCTGATCTTGACTGGCCTCCAGGTCAGAGGTATGTTATCAAAGATAATAGGCGTACTTTGTTGTTCTAAAATAGCTCAGCAGCATGAGTAGGTTGGCCTGGGGACCTTTTATCTCTGATGTTATTTAAGACAGTAAAACTTATATCATAGATGAATAACTCCCAGAATTTTCAGGGTGGTCCTTTGGAGACCTTTGGTTGTCATTCACAAAATCACTGCATACAAGGTAGTCATTGATCTCAATTCTAGTAGATCTTTGAGAAACACAATGCTAAAAAATTCTTGACAGATCTCCATAAAACACCTGCATTATACAAAATGTTACAGCTTGAGGATGCATTTATTTCCAATAAAGCACAATCGGCACATGAGAAAAAGCCTTTCTCCATCCAGCTGATTAGCTTTTAGCATAGGTAGGAACTGACATTCCAACATTTATGGATCCACCTGGTATGTATCCAGTGCTGGGCTCTCTTGAGCGGCCAGCCAGCACCCGGAGCCAGGACAGATGTGGCCACATTGAGGGGACAAGATGACAGAACTAAGAAAGCCTTTGATGATGAGCTACAAACTAAACAAAGAAAAATAAAAACTGAAGCTAAACTTTCTAAAAGCGTCTCAGAAGCTAAATTTATTGCTTGAGAAAAACACAGACATGAATGACTGGACTGAAAGCCCCCAGATAGATTTTCTATTCCTGTCAATGCTGATTTTTTTCAAATGTCTTTTATTAGACAAAGGAAATCAATCAACAAAATAGGCTATTTGTTCCTTTCCCATATAAAGTAAATGCTTACATAATTCTAATTTCTTGTCATCAAATAAATCATGTCAATGAAGTTTAAGAGAGTGTCTGCGGCTACTGACCAATTGGTACATAAAATGAGGGTCATAATACTGCACTTTGACATGTAGTACATATAAAACATGTGATGGATTCACATCTAGACAGGAAGTTAAAAAGAAATATGCCAGATGTTAAAAACAAGAAAGTCGTTGTAGAATTTCATAAGAATTAAGTACTCATTGCTAATTAACAAAAATTGATTCTCAAAAAGACTAGTCCATCTTATTCAGATATTAAAACTGTTCTCAAAAAAAAATGGATTCCTTACTCAAATGTTTGAAGTGCAGGTAATTTTTAATAGTTTTTATTTAATCTCTTTGTTAGAAATAAACATTTCAATATTGGGGTGCCTGGTTAGCTCAGTCACTTGAGCCTCTGACTCTTGGTTTCAGCTCAGGTCATAATCTCAGGGTCATGAGATTGAGCCCCTCATCAGGCTCTGTGCTCAGCATGAGTCTGCTTGAGATTCTCTCTCCCCCTCCTCTGACCCTTCACCCCACTTATGCACGCTCACTATCTCTCTCTCTCTCTCTAAAATAAATAAATAAAATCTTTTTAAAAAATAAAAAATAAACATCCCAATACAACCAAATTCTGCAGCCTTTTCATTACAACATATAGTCTTGTATATTTTTAATCAGCAACTATTTACTGCATATATCATATGATATACTAAGATATACTAAGATCTAGGAATACAAAGATGAATAAAGTATAATCTCTGCCTTCAACATTTGTTCAAACTCAGATGCTCAAAATGTGCAAAATCTAGGAAGACTTAATCTCAGTTTGAAAAAGCTTTGGGGAGCTAGCTAAAGATATATATATAGCTATAATTTTTTTAAGTCTTTAAAGAGTAAGGACCTGTTCTGTTCTTTGTATGCAAAACTGTTACTATAATAAAATAAGCTATTATTTTTTTCTAGCAGTGAATTTATCCATCTGAACTGTCTGGCCCAATCCTTGACAGGAAAGACAAGGATCCTTTTGATAATAACTAGAAAGAGTTGGGATATAGGACTTGAAAACGGCATGCAGAATAAATCTTCATCAGTCTCCTGCTCAACAGGTCTTAGGACCTCTTGGAAGCTAGGTAGAGACCCTTGACTTTAGGTTTTAGAAATAGTGTTTAAAAAAAAAAAAAAGGAAAAGAAATAGTGTTGAAGGCAAACCGGGATCATACAGTATCATAAAGATATTTCTACTATCTTAGAGCTCACTAGGATAAAAGCTGAAATTTTTATCAGCCAAACTGGGACGTAACATATTAAAAGTAAAAATTGTTAAGAGGACCTGAAAATATTATGAGATTTCCGTTCTGTCCAAAAAATTTCTGTTGCCTTTTATATTTGGCTATATATACCATCATTTATTAACTATCAGAGGGAATTTCAAAATAATAAAGAAAATTCTATGTGAAATATAGTTCAACAAATTATATAACCTTTATTCAATGTTTACCATGACTCAAAAACTGTGTTAAATGCTTTTGAGGCATTGTATGAATTTACTCTGCACAATAGTCCAGTTAGGTGGGTACGATTATCATACCAACTTTCCAGAAAGAGGAAAATTGATACTTAGGAAAGGCAGGGGTTTTTCCTGAAAATAAATAGCTAATTAATGGCAAAGCCGGAATAAGTGTTTTGTCTCCAAAGCAGGAGTGACTCAGCACTATACACAAACCGCCTCTGAAATTCACATGGATCTCCTACTCTCCAGTGCGGGGCACTGGGAGCTCTCCACCGCGGGGCACTGGGAGCTCTCCACCAGGTTTCCTCCTGCAGGGAGGGAGACAAAGGGATTAGAGCCAAGGGGCTTCAAGCGGGAGGGACTCTGTGAAGTACTCTTCAGGGCATAGCTACAGAGTATAATGGAAAGACAGGAACTGATGCTACAGATGTCCTGGGGGAGGGAGGAACCTCAGGGAGGAAGAACTGTAAATGGGCCTCGACGTGCAACGTTCAGAGTAGCAGAGCTGAGGGAGGGCACTGGAGGCAGCATGAGCTGGTAGACTTTGGGGATTAAAACCCCCAACTCCAGGATAACTGAAAACAGACTGTCTCTGTGGCCATTAGCTGAGCATAGGAACAGCCCCTGCTTTCAGATCAGTGTCTTAGGCATATTTTCATTAAGTGTATATTCTCTCTTTTGTAGAAGCTTCTTCTGTAGATTAGCTATACAGAACATGACCTGGGTCAGAAAATCTCTGCTCTGCACCAAGCTGTAGATGAGGAACTGACATAACTTCAGGTTTTCAATTTCAAGGAAAAAAGATGATGTTACCTAATATATAAACTGAGCCAGACCATTAACAACCCATGATATTTAAAATCTTTGCCAATGTAGACTTTCAGCCTACCAAGAACCTATTGGTTGAGACATGAATGAACTTTCAGGAAACTGTGTGCCGATTTTCAGAGGATAGACCTATGCGCTTCTTTCTAGGGTAAGGATATATTATTAGTATACACTCATATTTTAAAACAACTTATAGATTCTGAAAATATTAGGAACCATGGTAATGGTTAAAAATATATGTATATACACTACGTATATATATTACACAATATATTGTGATTATATATATACACACACCAAAAAAATTATACACATCCACGCACACACATTTGGTTAATGAGAATCCAGTAGAGAAGATGTGCCAGGAATTATGTGGGCTGAGAACACCCTGTGCGTGACTTTCTACAATCTAGCTTTTCTATAAATGAGATAAAATGGAAGAGAGCTTCCTCTCCCTCCTTTTGTTGGCTGTGCTATTTTGGTCTCCAATAAATAAGAAGATCACTGCATAACACCCAGCCTGTGCTTCTGCCCTGAGATAAAGAGCCAGGGCAGCTGGAGTGAGGGCCAGGTTAGAGGGCTCCCTCCCATTGTCGGCTGTCTGGACCAGACTCACTAGCTGAACTGCCAACCCAAGGTCAAAATGAAGGTGATAAAAGCACTTCCACCTGGCACCTCTTTCAGCAGAGTGGAGGCCATCCAGATGTCCCTGGTGGACTGAGAGAGAAAGGAACATGCAAGACATCGAACCGAGCACTTACTTTCTGTCCCTCCACCCTGCAACCCCTCACCCCTGCGCTCAGCACTTGAGCAAAGTAAGCATTAAGTCAGATAGGATATTGGTTATTACAATAAGGACTATTGCAAAAAGAATCACTTTCAGCTCCATTTCAAATTTAATTCCTTTTGATTGGGTCTAACTACATCTTAGCTAGTGACAGAGCAACCTAATGAATAAAATAATTAATCATTGTTCCTTACCGTGTAATATGTTTCATAATACTAAATTCTGTACTGTCTTACAGAAGTTTATAATCATTTTTCTTAGTCACTTATCACAAGCACTTAAAGCAGATCAGCATTTTTTTTTAAGATTTTATTTATTTATTTGAGAGAGAAAGAGAGGGCACGAGCGGGGTGAGGGGCAGAGGGAGAAGCAGACTCCCTTCTGAGCAGGGATCCCGATGCGGGGCTCGATCCCAGAACCCTGGGACTATGACCTGAGCCAAAGGCAGACGCTTAACCGACTGAGCCACCCAGGCACCCCAGGTCAGCATTTTTAACCACTTTTTGCTCTTACTGACTCTGAGCCATAAATAGGAAGTTGACAGAGCCCGGAGAAATATTCCTGCCACATGGTCCTATGACCCCTACTCGAACAAGCAATGGCAAAGATGATACATAACCTCACAACTTCTGCAGTATCAATGGTGTTTTGGGGCCAGTCATGTGAAA